TTAAGCCCAAGAGTTTGAGGTTGCTGTGAGCTGTGACAGCATAGCACCCTACTGAGGGCAACAAAGTGAGACTCTGTCTCAAAAAAAAAAAAAAAATACAAATGTCAGTATTTGTCAGTATCCAAACTAATACTGTTGATTAGTTTCTCCAAATTAGGAAAAAAAGAGATACAATTACATAATAAGATTTCAAACTGCTAACCTAGGTTGAATTAAGTTTATCAAAAAAGAGGCCTAGATGTACCTGGTGGTATATGTCTATAGTCCCAGCTACTGGGCAGGCTGAGGTGGAAAGATCACCTGAGCCCAGGTGTTCCAGAACAGCCTGAGCAAGATAATAAGAACCTGCCTCTCTCTTTTTTGTTTTTTTTTTTTTGAGACAGAGTCTCAGTAGAGTGCCATAGCATCACAGCTCACAGCAACCTCAAACTCTTGGGCTTAAGCAATTCTCTTGCCTCAGCCTCCCGAGTAGCTGGGAATACAGGCGCCTGCCACAACACCCAGCTATTTTTTTTTTTTTTTTTTTTGCAGTTTTTGGCCAGGGCTGGGTTTGAACCTGCCACCTCCAGCATATGGGGCCGGTGCCCTACTCCTTTGAGCCACAGGCGCTGCCCAACACCCAGCTATTTTTTTGTTGCAGATGTCATTGTTGTTTAGCTGGGCTGGGCTGGGTTCAAACCCACCAGCCTGGGCGTATATAGCGCTGTAAGCAATGTGCTACAGGTGCCAAGCCAAGACTCTGTCTCGTAAAAAAGAAAAAAAAAAGGCCAGGCACTGTGGCTCATGCCTGTAATCCCAGCACTCTGGGAGGCTGAGGCTGGGAGACTGAGGTGAGCAGATCGCCTGAGCTCATGAGTTTGAGACCAGCCTGAGCAAGGGCAAGATCCCATCTCTAAAATTAGCCAGGCATTGTGGTGAGTGCCTAAAGTCCCAGCTACTCAGGAGACTGAGCAAAGAGGATCACTTGAGCCCAAGAGCTTGAAGTTGCTGTGAACAACCCAAGGCACTCTAGTTAGGGTGACAAAGTAAGACTCTGTCTCAAAACAAACAAACAAACAAAAAACCGCAGGTGTCCTGCTTTTACTAATCAGTTATGAGAACAGCAACATTAATATGTACTATTTCTTCTTAGCAGTATAGTCTTAGTTGTTTAGACAGCAATATTCAAGAATCTCTGCATACTGACACTTTCTTCTCTTCACTTAAGAATTAATGAACAAAAGTGAAAACAATCACTGTTTTTTTATTTTCATACTGAAAAAATTATTGCCATCTGTACTTAATTTTGTGGTACATAAAAATTCCCTAATACAGCCGAGTGTGGCTCACACCTATAATCCTAGCACTCTGAGAGGCTGAGTTGGGAGGATTCCTTCAGGTCAGGAATTCCAAAACCATCCTGAGCAAGAGAGAGATCCCATCTCTACCAAAAATAGAAAAAATCAGCCCGCTATGGTGGGGTGCACCTGTAATCCTAACTACTCTAGCTACTCAGGGAGCTGAAGGAGGCTCACTTGAGCTCAAGTTTGAATGTACAATGAGCTATGATGATGCCAATGTACTCAAAGAGGAATGACAGAGAAAAAAAAATCCCCTAATACAAATAAATTTCTAAAATTATAACTAAGTAACCAGACATATGTTCCAAGACATATTTACACAGAATAAAAAGGATCAGCAACAAAATAAAAATATACAATGAAAGCCAGATATCACACATAAAAAATGTAGCGTATTTTTTTTTATTTGCTTTTGGACAGCAGCAAGGCATATTCAACTAATATTCAGGTGTAGAAAGAATGTGTCTTTTCCCGCATGGGCTATGTCTAGTTTCCTACAGTGGCAGTGGATCAGGGGAACACAATGCTACTACTTTTACTGTCCAGCCAAATTCCTCCACTGCCTTCAGGAATCAACTAGCCCATTTTACCTGTCTGTCAACTTATTTAAAGGAAAGAAATAACTTTAGTTAAAACAGTCACAAATGTAAGCATCTTAGCAGAGAACATGCACTCCAATCATAATGTCTTACCTTTTCTTCCTCATGGAGGAAAACTGGTAAAAAAAAATTTTAACCTTTAATAAATAATCCATAAAGGTCTGACAAGCTTCATGATCACAATATTCAAATTCATTTCCCAAACTGGAGTGATACAATATTGAGTGCATGAGATTACATTTACTGTTCACTAGACTTGTGAATAACTTCTAGACAATAAAACATGTTTTAAAAGCCATGTTAACATATGAGTTGACAAACATTAGATTTTGTTTCCTTAGAAAATGACTTTCCAGAAGTCAGATAGAATGGGGATAAACCAAGTCATTTGAGAGTCATTTTTAAAGCTACAAATTGTTTCAGGCTATAATAAACAATGTCCTCTTAATTGTATTTTCTTCATTTTCTGTATTTATATGCACACTCCTACTCCATAAAGACCCCTCCATCCTTCCCAGCACTTCCAACTATAACCACTAACCTAACATTACAGTAGCCTAGAAACAGACATTCCCAGGATTTCTTCAAAGTAGACCCAGGATCCGAAACCTCTAGAGCCAAACAACTGTAGCTCTTTCACTGCAGTTTTCCTTCGGAACCACCTTTCGAGTTTCTTCCTTCCTAAACATCGCTGACTCGAGAAAGTGTTGCGGGTAGGATGGGAGCGAAACAGTTGGAGCAAGGCCGCCAGCAAGGGAGGCTCTTCCTAGCCTAACCTGCACCCCGCAGGCCGAAAAGCCTGGGGCTCTTCCTGCAGCACCCTGCACGGCCAACCCTCGCTTCCCCAGGGCAGGGCTCAGCTCAGGTCAATGCAACCAGCCAAGTCGGGCCCGGACCGGGCCGGCTCTGCCCGCCAGTCCGCTGCAGCCCCTGGACCCCCGCCAGCGGGGATGGGCGTGGGCCCCGGCGGCCACCGCCCCGCCAACTCGGGCTCCGGAGGAGAGAATGAGCCCCACCCGCCACGCCAGCCACGGACCTACCTGCAGAAGAGAGGAGGGCTCCTGGACAGCGGTCACAGGCCCGAGGGCGGGCACCGAGGCGGCCGGAACCCGTCTCAAGGTCCCCAAATATCCCCGGTGCGGCAGGGTGCGGGGAGATGCCGGCGAGCTGCCGCAGGCCAGCGCGGCCAGTCGCGGGGGTCGCGAGGACCTGGCTCTCCCCTCAGCACCAGGCCACTGCTACCGCCGCCATTTTGCCTTCCACTCCGAGTCGCCGCCGCACTCCGCGGCAGGTTTCCCGGATGTGGGCATTTCCCGGCGTCGCTTGCGCGGGGGCCGAGGGCTGGGGGCTTCTGCCCGCCTGGCCGCCGGGAGCTGGTGCTGCTGTGACCTCCGGCCCCGCCGCTCTCCCGCCGCCCTGAGCGTTCTCGAGCGTGGCCCCGCTGCGCTCCCGCTGGCCGCTGCCCAGATGACTCGCCCGCGTTCGGGGAATACGGCTCTCTCCGCCCAGGCCCGCTCGGTCTACCCGGTCTCCCTTTTCCATTGAGTTCTTGCTCTGGACGGAGAGTATGGATGTGCATTTCACGGAGCTTTATTCTCAAAGGGAAACAGCGGAAGAGTGGCTCTCTGAAACATCGTGTGGACGCGTCAGGTTTTGAGATTTGTAGGGCTTTGAAATAAAATTTTACTTTTGCTTAGAACTCTTTCCAGGAATAAATCCGTGAGCTTCGAACATGCGTATTTTCTGTATCAAGCAGATAATCTTGAACCAAGACTGACTGATTAACAGAGTTTAGAGATCTTTGTCAACCGAATCTGTAGAAGAGAAGGTCGTTATTGCCATAATTGGAATAATGGTGACGATGATGGTGTGAAAAGATATTTTATTTACGGTTAAGTTTGTAAAGGAAAATAAAAATCTCAGGACACTCCCTCCCCCCATGCCTTATACAAGAGGGACAGTCATCCCTGAGGTTAAGTCATGCAACACTCCCTTACAAATGAGTAACTTTTACTGATGGTGTGTATTTGTCAGATCCACAGAAAGGTAAAAGGCCTCAGGCATCTAGGAACGTCTAGCCTCACATATGCATAAGGAAATTCATTGCTGGCCTCCATACACAAGGACATGCATGATAAGTCTAGCTCCTAAAACTGTAAAGTCTGTATGCCATTCCACAATTGATAATGTTGATTCCAAGCTTGCCTTCCCAAGTGCAGGACAGACAAGAAGAGATGGATCCTTCCACCAACGCAGAGACATCTGGATAATTGATTCTGCCTTTACTTTTTCTCTTCAAAAAGTCACCTTCTCATCTATAAAATAGAGACTACCTGGGCCTCACAAGAATGTAACCATTTGTCTTGCTGCCTACCTTCCCTTCTTCCCACCCCAATTTAGGAAATGACTTGGCTGACAGAGCAAGATTTTAAATACTAAATCTAAAAACCTCTTCGAATAAAACAGTCACAGATGTATCTGTAGCTTGTGTACCTTTCTGTGACCTCCTAAATCAGCGGCCAGAACCTACAGGAACTGTATTAAAGGGCCCTGGCATTAGGAAGGTGAAGAACTACTGTCTAGATGCTCTAAATCTGGTTTAGGAATCCTACATTAATTGAGAACCTTGCCCAGTCTTTCATTTTGAGTTGTCAAAATGAAATTGGAAGTCTCGGGTGGGATCATTAGGTTTATGATGTTTGTAGGCACCCCCTACCCTTTGCAAAGAGTGCCTTTATCAATTTTGCTTCATATACTTGGTATTTTAAAATATCTCCTTTCATCATTTTTCTACTAGAGATTAACTATAAAAATATATTGAAGACATTTTTCTGATGTTAAATTAATGATTGGCTACTATATCCAGAAATTAAAATAGGAAAACCTCTGTTAAAAGATTACATTCCTGGCTTGGCGCCTATGGCTCAAACAGCTAAGGTGCCAGCCACATACACTTGAGGTGGTGGGTTTGAATCCAGCCCAGGCCCACCAAACAACAATGACAGCTGCAACCAAAAAATAGCTGGGCGTTGTGGCGGGCGTTGTGGCAGGTGCCTATAGTCCCAGCTACTTAGGAGGTGGAGGCAGGAGAATCACTTGAGCCCAGGAGTTGGAGGTTGCTGTAAGCTGTGATGCCACTGCACTCTACCCAGGGCAACAGCTTGAGGCTCTGTCTTAAAAAATAATAATAAATAAATAAAGATCTGTTTTCTACAACAGAAAGTTTGTAAAAGGTAGAGGATAGGTATGACTCAAGGTGCATCACTCCTGGTATTTCTTTAACTGAATGACTAAGTAATCTATGGAGCCCTTTTTAGCCCTAAAATTAGATGAATTATTTGAGTCTAACTGGTTCACAGGCCTGCTTGCCCTTTCCAAAAGCATTATGTGTACAAAAGAGCATCCTACCCCCAGAGTCCTGTCACTTCTCACCAACCCATGGAAACTTTCAAGGCTCTGTAAGCTTAAAGGAAAGCAGCTCCATAAACTATTTACTTAATTTAACTTAATTAATTAATCCAGAGGCAAGATCTTGCTCTGTCACCCAAGTTGAACTGAAATGCCACAATCTTAGCTCACTGCAGCTTCAAACTCCAAGCTCAAGCAATCCTCCTACTTCAGCCTCCTGAGCATCTGGGACTACAGGTACCCACCACAAAGCCTAACTAATTGTTTATTATTATTTTAAGATATGTTGCCCATGCTAGAGTATCATGGTGTCAAATAAGGCTAGCTTATGGCAACCCCAAACTCCTGTTTCAAGCAATCCTCCTGCCTCAGCCTCTCCAGTAGCTAAGACTACAGGCACCTACCACAACTCCTGGCTAATTTTTCTTTTTTCTTTCTTTCTTTTTCTTTTCTTTTTTTTTTTTTTTTGAGACAGAGTTTCACTTTCTAACCCTCGGTAGAGTGCCATGGCAGCATCACACTGCTCGCAGCAACCTCCAGCTCTTGGGCTTAGGTGATTGTCTTGCCTCAACCTCCCGAGTAGCTGGGACTACAGGTGCCCGCCACAACGCCCAGCTATTTTTTTTGTTGTGGTTTGGCAGGGGCTGGGTTTGAACCCACCACCTTTGGTATATGGGGCTGGTGCCCTACTCACTGAGCCACAGGCGTTGCCCCCAGCTAATTTTTCTATTTTTCGTAGACACCAGGATCTTGCTCTTGCTCTTGCTCAGGCTGGCCTCAAACTCCTGAGCTCAAGCAATTCACCTGCCTTGGCCTCCCAAAGTGCTAGGATTACAGATGTAAGCCACTGCACCTGGCCACCTGGCTACCTGGCTAAGTTTTACATTTTTTTGCAGAGATGAGAGGTCTCACTATGTTGCCTGGGCTAGTCCTGAATTCCTTGCCTTAAGCAATCCTCCTGCCTCAGCTCTTGGAAGTGCTGACAGTACAGGGAGAGCCACCATGCCTGGCCCTCCACCAACTATTCTCTTTGGGAAGATTCCTAGATAATTCAAGGATCTCAGTATATAGGACTAGGAGGTTTACTCCTGTGCAGCAGAGGGAGAAATGAGCAGGGAAAGGAGAGAAGGAACCGACAAGATGAAAAGTGGCTGGGACTATGGGAAGCACTGGTAATGAAAAGCTGGGAAATACTACTGTGGGGCTGGATGTGTAACAGTGGAGATACCAGCTAGGGCATTTGAAAGCCTTTGTATTATTGTGACAGAAAACCTTTGCCAGGTTCATTCTACCCAGTTGTTTAATGCTTCATGGAAGTGGGGCTTGTTGGTTTCATTTTGTCTTTAGCAGTAGATGCAGAAGCCAGATTTCATGCTGAGGTGACTGCAGGGAGAAAAGGGGACGCCATAGATGGAAGAAGAATAGACACCAGTGTTGCCCTGAGGACATAAACTCTCCCAGATATTTATGTTATCTTAGGGGAAGACATAAAACCCAGTCCAGCCTGCTAAACAATGACAACTGCAACAACAAAATTAGCCAGGAGTTGTGGTGGGCGCCTGTAGTCCCAGCAGTTTGGGAGGCTGAGGTAGGAGGATCACTTGAACCCAGGAGTTTGGGGTTGCTATGAGCTACACTGACTCCACAGCACTCTAGCCTATAATCCCAGCTACTTGGGAGGCTGAGGCAAGAGAATCACTTAAGCCAGCGGTTCTCAACTTGTGGATCGTGACCCCTTTGGGAGTCAAATGACCCTTTCACAGGGATCCCCTAAATATATCCTGCATATCAGATATTTACATTACAATTCATAACAGTAGCAAAATTACAGTTATGAAGTAGCAACAAAAATAATTTTATGGTTGGGAGGTCACCACAACATTAGGAACTGTATTAAAGGGTTGCAGCATTAGAAAGGTTGAGAACCACTGATTTGAGGTTGCTGTGAGTTGTGATGCCATGGCACTCTACTGAGGGCGACATAGTGAGACTCTGTCTCAAAATAAATAAATAAATAAACTATACACTGGTGAAGTTACATATATTTACTGGACAAAATTCTAGAGTAGATTATTAAGATGTTTCTACTATA